ACCATTCAAATGCATTGACTCTTGGCCACTGAAATGCCCTGGCGTGGGTCAGGTGCACCCGAGTCCCTAAAGTAACAGTCTTGCTTTTCAATACTCTAAAGAGGTCTTGGGCAGCAGACTTACTTACCTAACGCAACACATCTTTTGACCTCTTGACTGCTGTTTCCATAAGCTTTGATTGTGGATCCAAACAAGACAAAATCCGTAACACCTTCAACCTTTTCTCCATTTATCATTATGTCAACTATTGGTCCAGTTGTGAAGATTTTGGTCTTCTTTATATACTGATAGCTGTAATCATTGATCTTCATCAGCAAATGCTTCAAGTCCTCCTCACTTTCAGCAAGCAAGGCTGTGTCATGTGCTTATCGCAGGTTCTTAATAAGTCTTCCTCCAATCCTGATGTCCCATTCTTCTTCCTATAAGCCAGCTTCTCTGATGATTTGTTCAGCATGTAGATTGAGTAAGTACAGTGAGAGAATGCAAGCCTGAATACGTATGATTGAATAAGTTGGTGGGTGAATATAACCTTTGATGCGGGGCAGAAATTATGTGTGGAATCTCTTGGGAGAAAATGCTTTAAATTTCCTGAGGCACCTCGAATCTATTTTAGAACCAGGAATAAAGGAAGTGCATAAGGGTAGTGGTAGTTCAAAGATTGAAGGTGGCAAGGATTTCTCTGTACTCAGATCCACAATCAAGGTTCATGAAAGCAGTAGTCACAAAATAAAAGGATGCATGGGGAAAATCTGCTCCAAAAGGTCCCCTCCTTCAAGTGTTAAAGAGCAAGGTTAGAGTCCACTTTGAGGACCCTGGTGCTCCTGACCCAGGCCAGGGTAGTTCTAATTGCTTCATATGCTTTTGGAAGCTGGACAATTAATAAGAAAGACTGAAGAATTGAGGCCTTTGAATTGCAAGGCTGATGAAGAATTTTGAATATACCATGGACCGTCAGAAGAACAAACAAATCTGTCTTGGAAGAAACACAGCCAGAGTGCTCCTTAGAAGTGAGGATGGTGAGACTTGGTCCTGCAGGCTTGGGACATGTTTCGAGAGAGACCAGTCCCTGGAGAGGGACATCGTGCTTTATAAAGGAGAGGGCCAGCAAAAAGAGGGGGAAGACCCTTAATGAAATGGACTGACAGATTGACACCGTGACGGCAACAATGGGCTGAAACATAACAATTGTGAGGACAGCACAGGACTGGCTGTCCTGTCATGCTCTGTTCGGTTGTGCGTAGGATGGCTAAGAGTCAGAGAGAACCTAACAACAACATAATGGCATGACTGGGAACAGAGAAGCATTTCCTGGTCTCCCACCAACCAGGGCTCTCTGTGAGCCCCTGGTTACAGCCACATGCATGTTAGCAAAGCAGATTCTGATGGGGTGGGGTCTTAGTATTTTGTAATAGACAAGTTTATATTTTCAGGAACATTTAACTGATTTAACTTCTGAGCTCCTTGTTGCCTGTCTAAAAATTCCTCTGGAAGGCAAGCCTGGCAATATGCTCTGAAAGTCCACAGCCTTGAAGAGGACCCATTTTCAACCACGGGCACACCTGGGGTCAGGCCCCTGACGGAACCAACCACAACAATGTGTGCTGTAGCTAAATATAACGTCTGGGAGCTTTTCCTCAAAACTCTGTGCTGCTCCATAGTCCTCTATCACTTAGGGCTCATTTCATGGATCGATGTTGGCTCACTGAACACTCCAGAATTCTCTCGTCTTACCACATATTGAGTTCACCTCTTTCCACTCCTTTCCATAAGCCCACCCAGATGTTTGAGCCGCTGGAAAGAGGTATCATTTAACAGGTGTCTCTAATGCCTAATTCATCCAGCAAGTGTTTCCCAAAGAGAGCATACTGCCCCTTGGAGGGGGGTGGGCAGTGTGACAATCCAGGGGCTGCAAAAGCAGATGCTACCCTTTATCCTGGATTGTGGGCTATAGCACACAAGTGTTTCATTTCAGGGGTAATTTTCTCTCTGAAAGGGGTTGGGGATAGTGTGTCAAATAAGAAAACCATAGAACCTATGCTCTGGCTGGCACACAGTGGACACAAAAGAAAGGCACAGTGCACTAGACGGAGAAATGCATGTTGTCCTGTCAAAGCAAAACCTAGAACTGCGTCTCTTTCATTCCTATGTTTGGAGCCCATTCTATCTTCGATCTGCATGGTCAGCTTTCCTTCTGTTCTGGAAAGCTTTTCAAAGTTATGTAGATGATTAATATTTTCTGATCTAATTTTCCTTAGGGATTCCTATAAATCGCCCTATCCCCATTCTGTATCTATGGTCTTCTCCCTAACCAGGGTTTTGAATCCATTCTTCCTGGTTCAGTCCTGGCCTGAAACAAAAGCAGACTAGACCTCAATGTTTAAAATGTGGGTGAATAGTAACTATAACCAGATTGAACAAAAACGATGGGCCAGTGCCCTGTTAGAAACTCAATCTCCCCGGTAGAAATCAAGAGCAATGCGCACACCACATAGCAACCAAATCTCTTCATCAGCAGAGTTGGAAACAGTGGGGCCTGTTGTCCTGACAGGAATCCAGTCTCCCACAGCATGTTCCTGAAGGGCTCACTACACTCCTCCCAAGTCTCCAATCCAGGGCTCTGACCGGAATTTTCCCCTTTCCAGATATTGCTCCACTTAAGACTAAATTTTAAAAGTTTGAGCCTACAACAGTTTTGCTTTATCAGCCATGGGTGAACCCATTCAAATTAGCTCAAAGCCCTGTTTCTACCATTTTCCTTTCTCTGTATTTTTCCCACTCATTGTAGAAGGCCTTCCCACTTCCCCCCTCACTTTACTGACTGAGACCTTGAAGTGTTAATAATGCTTTTTAATCATCCCCAAAGCAGGTTTTCATGCAGATACTGCATTTCCAGTTACCCAGCAACCCTTTTTCATCTCACTTGCCTCCTTTCTTTCTTTCTTTCTCATCTCACTCTGTTGGGCTTTCACTTGAGTGGCCTTCTCTGTGAGCTGTATCATCCTGTTTCACAAAGGCTGGGTATCCAGGAGAGGTTGCTAACCATTTTCTAGACTTGTCTTGTGGCTTATAAAGTTTGTGATTCTAGATTTGCACGCTCTTTCAGCGTCTTCAGAGCAAAGCTGCCTTTCTCTTGTGAAGTCTATCCCTTCGTCGATGCCTATTGTTTTTGAGAGGAGAAATGGACTTTCCTTATTCCAGCACAAGGGGGCAGAGCTGACATCTGCGCACACGGGACCAGCGCTGAGTTGGCTGCACAGCCAACAGTACAGCCTGAACCCAGGGCTCCCAACGCCCTGGCATTCCTGCTCCCAACACAGGCACGCGCCTGTTCCTGCTCATTGCCCTGCCTTACCAATCCACGGCCCAAGCCCACCTACGGTGAGCAGTTCTCTCAGTACCATTTTTCTGCCTGAGTCACGTTTTGTTTTATTTCTAAAAGAACATCTGTCATTGTCTTAAACACAAGGGGCAAGGCAAAGACAGAGGCATATGCTCCAGATGGGGGAGGTTACTGGGGTCTGAGAGCTTGCAGACAGACAGACCTTTAGAAAGGACCTGGGAGGACAAGGAAAACCATCACCCACGCTGTCATGGTTGGCAGCAAATCCAAATGTGGGGTGGTATTGGCGAGGGAATGAATGGGCCACGATGAGGACACACAGGCTGTGAGTGACGGGAGTTTACAAAACTAGTCCAAGGGCTTGGTTTCCCTGAAGCAGTCTCTGTGACGGCCCCATACCATGATCTCCTTCCAGGGCACACCCAAGCAAACCCGCTAGAGACCCCTCCTCTGAATCACACTGTAGCCATGCCCACAACTGCTCTGCCTCCCTCCACAGAGCAGCCAAGCTTTTTCATAAAGCCCGGGCACACTGCGCAGATCACCAGCCACGGACTCATAACAACCCAATCGAACAGAGTTGAATTTCTCAGGCTGTCAATCTTAGGGGGGTGGAAGTGGAAAGGGTGCAGAAAGCCTCATCTTTCTCCTGCCCTCGGAGTGACTGGTGGGTAGTGGCCCAGTGTGTAACCACTGCTCAATCGGGGCTTCTCCACAGATGCAGAAGGCAAACATTGCCGGCACCTGGAAACCCCAAATTTGCATGTGACATCCTTTACTGTGATAGGCACCTTATTGTAGCGGTCAGGCACTGTGGTCCGAGGTGCTCTAGCAGCGGTCTGTTGCAGGGCAGATGACAATCTGGGCACCCGCGCCATCTAGCGGCACCACGCAGAAGCGCCCGTTTCACCTGAGCGACCGCCTTCCATCCAACAGGCAGTTATGCTCTGTTCTCCAGGGACCTTAGGAGCCACTAGAGTCCAAATTGACAGCAGTGAGTGACAGGAGCCATCCATCCACATGCTCCCTAAGAAAGGCCAGAAAAGAGCCAGGGACCTCTGGTGTTTGTTGATGAACTGACAACAGCATTGTTAACCAGCAGTGTGACTCCTGCCCACCCCAATTTAACCCAAAGTCACAACAAAAAGCAACTTTCTTTCTTTGAGGCTTCTTATAAATTTGGGTAAATCAGATTCTGGTGGCGTTGTGGAGCCATGGTGGTGTAGTACGTATGCATTAGGCTGTGATCCAAAAGGCCCGCAGTTTGAAACCACCAGTTCCAAGGGAGAAAAATGAGGCTTTTTATTCCCGCAAAGACTTACAGTCTAGGAAGCCCACAGGGGCAGTTCTACTTTCTCCTCAAGGGTCATTATGAGTCCACATCAACTCAATTGAAGTGTGTTTGAGGCGGTGTAGTGGTTACACATTGGTCCGCTAACCTCGAGCAGTTTGATTCCACCAGCTGCTCTCTGGTAGGAAGATGAGGCTTTTTGCTCCAGTAAATAATTCATCTCAAAACCTCTCAGGGTGGCTAGGAGTCGGAACCAACTTGATGGCAGTGAGTTCAGTTTGGGACACAGTGATTCAATCTTTCTAGCTACTCATTGAACATGCACTGGGCTCCGTCTCCAACAGAACTGTGAGCTAGTTGCAACGGTACCTGGAGGCGGGCGTTCATAAGCATGAACTCCTGCTGACGCTTCATGTTTTCATTCATAGACTTTGACAGTATAAACCCCATGTTGACCTAAAATGCAAACAACGGCAGGGATTTAGAAGAACACATCCTTCTCCACCTCTTGGTGTCTCCAACATGATCAGCTTCTAGGTATTGTGAATTTGAGACAAAGTAAAGGGGGAAAAGCTCTGGCTGGGACTTACATTTGGGTTTCGCTCCTGCTGCCGGCTAGGGGGTTCACCTCGGGCACCCCTGCCTGACCACCATGCACTCCTCTAAGACTAGCTGGTTGAGGGAAGCCATTCACAAGATCCTCCCTGCTCCCAGGTGGTCCCAGGGAGAACTGACACCCATCAACTCACCTTCTGCACAGCTTCTGGAGAGCGGCACTCTGCTCTAAAGCTGCCTGGGCTCTAGCACTGTGGTCCTGGGCCTGTGTATCACCATCCTGCCCACCGTGCCCCCACCGCCCTCCTCTGGCATGGCCTTTGCCCTCTTCCACTTCCACCCCCCTCAGAGGGGGAAATACATGGAGCACCTCCAGTGTCCCGGGAAGTGTCCTTTCTAAACGAATGTGAAGTTGGGCGCATACTGGGACTTGTGTACAGGGAGGAGTGCTCAGCCTGCACCCTGTCCAAAGCGGGAAACCTGGCAAGACCGTCCCATCCCGGCGAGTCCCAGCTCTCCCGGGGCATGACTCCCCTCGTCCGTGGGGCTCCCTAAGAGGGCTGACAATTCTGAGTGGGCTGAAACCCCAACTGCTGTTGTTCTTAATCCACTGGGGCAGACACAGAAGGGCTGCCATTGCTTCCTGGTTTTCCTTTCCCACAAAACTCAGGGAAACGTTTCAATTGCTCTGCCTCCCTCTTTCTCGCCACCAGGAGTAAGCTGTACAACCGGGTGCTTGAGTCTCAAGTCAACCCAACCCTCCGGTATTCTGTAGGAAGCCTATCCAAGGCTTCCATGGACAGCAGCCTCCCAAGAAAGCCCCAGGGCCTGGCCCACAGGGGAGCAGATATCCAGTGGAATGGGGTTCCCCTGCTGAGGGTCCACCCTGAAGTTGAA